GTTAATAAACTTTTGTGTTTTTTCTTGTCTTTTGTTATAAGACTCTGTCCTAGTTAAGAATTGTGAAGGGTAGAGAAAAAATTATTTTTTCTTCTTCTATATGTATTTTCCATAATAAAACATTTTGAGAAATCTCTATATTGTAGGAAGTGGAATGATAAGAGGCGGTAAGGACTACATGAAATCACACATATTACAAACATGGCCCTTAACCTGGTATTTACCAGGCACTTAAGAGAATGCATTTAAACAATATATTCATTCTTTGAGAACAGAAATTCATAAACTTTTATGTGCATATAAATCACCTGAAGATATCCTGAAAATTAAGACCTTACACAAAAGATCAAGGGTGGGGCCAAGACTTGCAAGGATCTATGAAAATAAAGGCTGGCAAATTTAGATACAATGGAGAATCATGTATTAGAACTGGCTTGTGTGACAGGCATTCAACAACCTGAAAATCAAAACAAAACAAAACTAGTTTTGAATCTAGGATGGTATCTAGTTTACTAGTTTGAAGGGTTTCACGATCTTTTTTTGGGGAGGAGCACAGTACTAATGATTGAATCCAGGGTACTTAATCACTAAGCCACATTTGCAGTCCTTTTTATTTTTTATTTTGAGACAGGGTCTTACTGAGTTGCTTTGGGCCTCTCTAAATTGCTGAGCCTGGCTTCAAACTTGTGCCTCAGTCTCATGAGTTGCTGGGATTACAGGCATGAGTGCCTGGCAGTGTTCCACAATCCTAACACAATATTATCTTCATGATAAAGAGACCATTCTAAAGATATCTTTAAACAGGCAATATCTATGCAAATTATGTAAATTTATCAAGTAATGGAAATATATATTCTAAAATATAAATATCATAAATAAGTAAAATGGTAAAAGATTAAAACTTAATCTAAAAACAATATTAAGAATGAACAATTTCTGATTTTCAGGTCAGTTTTAATATAACTTTATTATCTCCCTGGTGGGATTGTATTTACAATTAATTTGTTGGTCTATTTCAAATGATAGTATTACTCAAAATTTCATTAATTAAGATCCACAATTATCTAAAATTCATGTTGAGAAAAGAAATATGGAAAACTCTGAATTTTTTAAATTGTTAGCATTTAAATTCACATATTTTGGTAATGAATATATATATATATATATATATATCATACAATACTTTTGTTATGTAGCCATGAACTTTGCAAACAAAAATCCAAGCCTGCCATTTGAATTGTAGTTTCTCTTTCTTTTTGTATATGTTTCATTATAAACATAACCTGATCAATAATGTAAAATCTGTAATAACAATTCAAGTAGATGACAAATATGTCAGTCAATGCAGTAGAGACTGAAAAAAAGAAAATATTATTTTGTTTATTTCTACTTTAATTTTTCTTACATCCTTATTTTTATCTAAAATTAAGTTATTTTACTCAAAATATAGTTCTTATGAGAAATTAAACTCAATGAATAGTTATCATAATTATCTGTTTGTTTTAATGTGAGCCTGAATGAAACCTGTCTACCTCTTGAAAACTACTATTGTATGCACAAACCTATAATAGTCAATTCAATTTGCCAGAGTATTTTTTCCAAATATAAATTATAAACAGCTTTCTAGTCATTAATTAGACAGTAATATGTTAACTGGTTTCATTCAGTTCCTCATTTCTACATCTAATACACACAGTATATTATGAGCTCTCAAAAATTATTTTACCTAACTCATTCATTTTCAATGTTCTTTTTATTTAAAAGTAATCACCTGACGTAACTGAAAATTATGTCTGTCTTGTCTGTGTCAGAATATTATTCAGAAAAGCTATAATCCAGAGTGTAGAGTAATTATTTTTCTTGGAATAAAATTAGACCAGGAAAGCAACATGAATGCAATAAGAACTGATTTAAAGTGGAGGATTCCCCTATGTTCCAAATCTAGAGGCTGTGATAAGAGAAATAAAATTATCTGACACTTGTTATTGTGAGCTGTTCTAATAGTTACCTAAACAAGTTCCATCCTGCTCGTAATTTCATATCTTTCAGTTGGCATACTTAATTGGAATTGTATTTATTTCCCAGAAAGATGCCAAGTCCCACTGACAATTCTAAGAAACCCTCATAGAAGATATTTTGTTCCTCTTCTGTTATCTAGTTACAGTTACATGGAACTTTATAAGAAGACTGGCTATTAATTACCTGGAAAGGAGGAAAACAAACACTGAATTGTCCGAAAGTTTTGATCCTAGCTTTTCCACTAATTAGCTGGGTAACCTTGGACAAGTCATGGAGCCCCTTCAGATACAAATAAACTCAGTCTTATAAAAGAAAATAAAATGAGGGCTGAGGTTGTAGCTCAGTGGGACTGCACTTGATTAGCACATGTGAGTTAACAGTTTCAATCCTCAGCACCACATAAAAGTAAACAAGTAAAACAAAGGTATTATGTCCAACTACAACTCTAAACCTTAAAAGAAAAGATATCATTGACCTAGACAAAAAGCCTCCAGATTTTTTTTCATGCATCTTAAATTCTATCTATTCTCTTATCTTGGGTCTAGATTTTTCCAGGATTTTTAATTTAGTTGTTTGAATTGATTGAGCACTTTTACATTATTTCAATGGCCAAACAGGCACATGAGACTTTAGCTAAAATTCTAAAATGTTAAACTACAAACACTTGCATAAGACCATTAATCATTATAGGTGACTATTTGACTTTGCCATAATTACAATGTGAACCTGACCAGTAAGAGCAATCAATGTTTTTAAAACAATTTATAATAATTAAATCAGAGAGATGAGCTAAAACACAGTGAGGATGAGAATAAGACTGATGATAAGATTTGTATGCCTATACTAAAAAATTAACTTTCTTAATAAAATTTTAACATAATTCTAATAAAATCCCCGAGAGATTCTTCCATAAACATTTTGAGAAAGCAAAAATATATTTAAATGACCTAAAATATGAATGGATTTTTTGATAGAAATACATGGTACATTATAAGATATCATTTCATCTAACACCAGGGAGCTATATATGGACTTCAGAAATCACTGTGGCAAGGAAATAAACAATCACTCTTTCCTTTAATATCATATTTTTGTGTGGTTCTGGGGACTGAGTCCTAGGCCCCATGCATACTAAGCAAGAACTCTAACATTG